CATTTCTCATTTTATCACAGAAGTAAAGAAGTCAAGTTGCCCCAAAAACATCACTCTTATCTTATCATGAACTTCCTCGAAGACAAGAAAGTACTTTTATATTCAAATGCAGGTGGCGAGAATATGATGACTCAAACAGATAAGGTACCCCAAGAACGACATCACAATATGCGTTTAGGGTTTCACTGCCACTGGTACTGACCATTGACAAGTAGAAAGAGTGTGATCTTTTATGTACATACCCTGTTTGAGCTTCAATACTTTTTACCAGTGTGAAGAAAAAGTTGGTTTGATAAATTTTCAGCATGTAATAACGTGCATATGTTTTACTAGCATTTTATAAATTTTCTTTCCCAGCAATGTTTCTTTACATTTTCAAACAGAGATATATTAGGGTATTTATATCTTTTTTTTGTGGATAGCGCGTTGGATTTCTAATCCAAAGGTACCGGGTTCGTTCCCCGGCAGGGATGCCACCACCATTGCCTGGTCCCAAGTCCAGGATGAGAAACGTTTCAGAAACGTTTATGACTTTAGGGATTCCACACCATGCGCCTCCAAAGTGAAGCGTATTTTATACAATTGTTCTTTTCTCTACTCTGCAGATTATATGAGAAAAGTAACTAAAAAGTGCTGTGGGTGATTATTAGCTAAAGAAATGCTGTGTGTGATTATTTCACTAAAATTTGTAATCAACTGCAGGAACATGACCTATTTGATGAGTATTTTGCAGCCACTCCAAATGCCCTTGTAGGGTCTGGTGGTATTAGTGAAGTCAAGTGTCCATGAAAGTAAAGGGAATTACTGCCTTACAGGCTGTTCTGCCAGTTAAAGATGTTTGTTGCGCAAGAATTGAAAATAAATTAAAACTGAAAGATGTTCATACATATTATTATAAAGTACAAGCATGGCCAGGTGGTTAAGGTGCTCGACTCGCAATCTGAGGGTCGCGGGTTCGAATCCCCGTCACACCAAACATGCTCGCTCTTTCAGCCGTGGGGGCGTTATAATGTGACGGTCAATCCCACTATTCGTTGGTAAAAAAGTAGCCCAAGTGTTGGCGGTGGGTGGTGATGACTAGCTGCCTTCCCTCTAGTCTTACACTGCTAAACTAGGGACGGCTAGCGCAGATAGCCCTCGTGTAGCTTTGCGCGAAATTCAAAAACAAACAAACAAAGTTCAAGATCAACTACATATAGACTGCAAAAACATTTGGGATTTCATTATTTGGACGTTTCTCGACATAAGAATCGAACGATTCGTTCGAGATGACGATTTTTGGTCGGAAAATTTAAACTGAAACTGTTTTATTTCATTTTAAAGCAATCTTGCCAGAAGTAACGAGAACCACGCCATCTTTTTTAAGGCTAAATGAAAGTACCGTGATAAGCACGAATATCGCATATACATTAGCTGCGATTCTTTATATTTTCTTATTCTGAATTTTGAAATGTGATAAAATGGAATTAAACTGGATAACTTTCCAGAAGATCTTTTTTGAGAAGACGTTTAGGTAAACTTTCGTGATTCTACTTTAGAAACGAAAGTCGGTCAGAACATCGTTCCAAACAAAGAAACGTTCCAATAGACTGTCTATTATGGATCCATTTAAGTAGATGATTCATCTACAAACCAGGAATTTAAAATGTATATGGAATATGTTTTGTTTTTTGAGATATAAAAGCGGCATCACTGTATAAGAATCATACTCGTATGATTTCCATTAGTGACTGACTGTGTTTTTTCAAATTAATATATTTTGCACTTGTATCATAAATGGATTTTTACGTTAAGAATAATTGTTTGTTTTCAAATGTGACTGATTTTTACTGTAAATGAGTTTAGCAAACATTTTATGCTCTCCATTCGTTTTATCGTATTGTACAATAATAAATTTATATCAGATAACACATACTAATACAGCTTATTGGCCATTTTGTTTTATTCCAGTAGGTCACGAATGTAAAACCTTTTGTAAATCGCGGTCTAGAGTGAACTATAAAAGTGAAACGCTACATTTGCCCTTGTGGGTCAGCATTACGTTTACAGACTTAGAACGCTAAAATCCGGGGCTCGATTCCCCACGGTGAACAAAGTGCAGATAGCCCATTGTGTAGCTTGGCGGTAAGAAAACAACAATAGGAAAATTACCTATACATGATCATACAAACTACATATGTGTAATGTTTGTGTACATGAATTTTTAGCTTTTATTATTTATCTTCACTTCACTTATATTTCAAAATCTTTTAAAATCTACACATAAAACTTTGTAATAAGCTTCAGGAATTAGCGTTACTAAATTTTTAGTTTTTCTAAACTGGGTATTTACATGATTTATGTAGATACGGATGAGTGGTTTTCTTTATCGTCACGCAATGTCTACTGCATTTTTGGAGCTATTTTTTATCACGAAGAAGACTAGGACCGAACCCAGCAGATGGATTTGACGAAAAAGCTCAGTGCACAAAGTTATGAATATATTCATATTTTAAAATCATACGAGATCGCCATTTTAGCAAACTTCTTTGGATTTTCCTCATGTTTTTTGTTTTTTTTACTTCATGATTTATGTCATTGTAATTACTCGATATTCCCTATTTTTAACATTCTTTTATTAGACTTGAAAATGTGTAGTTTTTAAACATTCTTGGCAAATGAACAGTTAGTTTTTTTTTCCGCTTGGTTATGTTTGCCTTTTCAGTGGAACCCAAGTAAGCAGAAAATGTAGTCAATGTAGCTGTAATTTGGCTTGACTCATTAAAAATGTGTCATTTCCAATTTATGACTCAGTCGTAGGGGTGAGAACGTTCCCGTACTACGTAAAAAATCTAAACAACGGGCTAACTGCGTTGTACCCACTATATGTATCGAAACCCAGTTTTTGCGGTATTCCACTGGGGAGTTAAAAAATACTCGGAAATCAAGATGATCTCATTACGCAAGCGCGATTGTTAATTTTACGCATATGATTATTTATAGTATAAAAACTTAGGAATTTATTTTTTACACAGAAGCTCTAACATTGCGATTGGCATTTCATTGACACGGCTGAGAAGGAATTATGAATACATATTTTATGTTATTCATAGCAATACAAACTTTTTGCTGCATAATGGCCTACCAGACAATACCTGTCATGCACAAGGTGTTTTACATTGATTTATTTCACCTGAATTTGGAGAATTATATCTCAACATACCAGATTATTACATTCACAACAAAATACTGAACAGTACTTTCCGTACTAGTAAAGTTGCGCAGCTTCACATTAATATGAACTTCACAGTTGGTGGTGGGTGATGTTGACTAGCTACCATCCTTCCCTAGCATAACATGGCCAGGTGGTTAGGGCAATTGACTCGCAATCTGAGAGTCGCTGGTTCAAATCCCCGTCCCATCAAACATGCTCGCCCTTTCAGCCGTGGGGGCGTTATATTGTGAGAGTCAATCCCACTATTCGTTGGTAAAAGAGTAGCCCAAGAGTTGGCGGTGGGTGGTGATGACTAGCTACCTTCCCTCTAATCTTTCACTGTTAGATTAGGGACGGCTAGCGCAGATGGCTCTCGCGTAGTTTTGCGCGAAATTCAAAACAAACAAACCTTCCATCTAGTCTATCACTATTAAATTAGGGATGGCTAGCGCAGATAGCTCTCGTGTAGCTTTGCGTGAAATTCAAAACATACTAAACGATTATTACACACGTTACTCTGGAAGTAGAGGTATAATAATATTTATTACTTAAAGAGGTAAACGACATTGTCTGGATTCGAGACAGAATGTCTTAAAAACATAAACACTTTTTGTTGGATCACGATTGGAAGTAGTTTTGGTCAAATAAATTTGTTTATTGCGTTTCACCTAAAGAAGAAAAATGACTTATGTTTAATAGCTTTGATCACTTAAAATATTTTAATGAACATTTTCTAAAACAAAAAACCACAATTTGCATTTATGAGAACTTTAAACAATAAAATATGCATGATAATTGGTTTTATTAAATATTTCATAATGAGCTAATAACATAAAAAACCTTCAATATATTCTGTTTTAATGTAGAATCCTGATTTTTTTTACCCAGGTGGGTACGTGGAATACGCAGTTTGGCATTCAGTTCTCTACCAAATACGAGAAATTAGTAGGTGACGTTTTGCGACAATTAAGGAACCGTACTCTGGAGGTTGTAACAATTATTGTAAGTATACCATGATAATATTTAACGTACACTCCTGATTTCCTGTACTGTATTGTAAAACTATTTGTAAGATGTTTTTTTGTTTGTTTCAGAGCAAAGCCACATTGAGTTTTCTGCTATGACTACCACCGGGAATCAAACCCCGGATGTTAGTGTTGTAAGTCAGTGAACTTACCGCTGTCTCATCAGGGGACATTATAAGAATGATAAATTCTGAAGACATAATCTCTTCTATCCTAATATTACCATTAAACGTTACTCTAAGCATCTACCGAAAGGGTAAGGTAAAGAAAAATTAAAAATTATGCCACATTTTAATTACCATAATTATATAATTTACTGGCTGACGTAAGTTTTGAAACATGTGTCTAGGGAACCATCCCACGAAAGATTTATTTTTTTTTTTTTATGGAATGAACGTGTAATATATATATATATATATTGTTTATTTCCTATGTATTTATAAAGTAAAAAAAATTAATGAATGAGTAATGAGTCTTTTTAAAACGTCACTGGAGAATTTAATCATAATAATCCCCTAGAATCCGCCCTACATGATGATGAAAGAACCAGCAGAGCAGCTAACTGGAAACGATCAGTTTGAAGGTTATTGTTTGGATCTACTTGAAGAACTGTCTAAGAGACTAGGTTTCAAGTATAAGATACACCAAGTTCGTGACGGTTCTCATGGAAGCAAGAACGAACATGACGAATGGAATGGCATGATACGAGAATTGATTAATAAGGTATATTAAATCAGTATATCACAGCAAACAAAGAGAAAAAAGCAAACTACTATTTAATATGTGAAACGTTTTAACTATTAATTATATTTATCATAAGACATTATGTCAGGCCTATTATATTTTTAACGCTACATTCCTAGCCTAGTCCTTTACGGATTTACAATAATTACAATGTATACTAATAGAATTTCAACCATACTATGTTCGTCATATCCACTGCAGACGACGATACGTTCGCGCTCTAACAATTGTCGTTTTAATTATTATTTCCGTTTTTCTGAATCACATACGTTTATATTACTATATTTTTTTAACTACATCATATCCACTGATCGCTATTGTTTCATCTGTTGGAATTGAATAAGACCAATACTAAGTATTAATTTATTATAATTTAAAACACTAATCAGAGGATAGAACAAAACAAAATTATTACCTCCATTATCATCAGTAATCCCAACCATACAAAAAAGTGTAAATTTCAACTAAACGTTTAGAATAACCACTCAAACATTCAACCAATCACGAGAAGTTTTAGAAATAGTAGGAGATATGCTTGTATGCAAAGTTTTGCTAAAGAAATCAGTGCTAAATGACCTTTCTGATTTTAAGAACAGAAAATAATCTAGAGCAAACCGCAAATGGTTGAATCTATAAAAAAAAAGTTAAATAATAAAATATCTCCCTAAAATACAAAATTACCATACCAACAGTTCGGTTTCATATCTTTATCAATAATATAAATATCACTGTGCGACAGCTCCTGGCACAGTTGTGAAGTTCTTACTAACTACTTTAGGAAGAAAAAAATCGTTTTTAATTGTTTCAGCTTGGAACAGTTTTCGATTTAACGAACATGTGTAATCTATATAAAAACCATGCTTACTTTTGTTTATCCGAAACTTTTCTCGCAACTTTCTCGATCAAACGCTACAAGTCTAATATCGTTAGATATTTAGAGGAGTCCGGATTGCATATTGGCTTTTTCATTCAGAATCACCTTATAGAAAGGCCTTTGTACGAGGAGTTCCGATTACATATTGGCTTTTTCATTCAGAATCATCTTATAGAAAGGCCTTTGTACGAGGAGTTCCGATTACATATTGGCTTTTTCATTCAGAATCACCTTATAGAAAGGCCTTTGTACGAGGAGTCCGGATTGCATATTGGCTTTTTCATTCAGAATCACCTTATTGGATAGGCCTTTGTACGAGGAGTCCGGATTGCATATTGGCTTTTTCATTCAGAATCACCTTATAGAAAGGCCTTTGTACGAGGAGTTCCGATTACATATTGGCTTTTTCATTCAGAATCACCTTATAGAAAGGCCTTTGTACGAGGAGTTCCGATTACATATTGGCTCTTCCCTTCTGAATCATCTTACCCGTTTTTTTTGCTTAACCAAACTCTTTAATCCAACGATGGCACAATGTTGTTGTCATCACGTTTCTATTGGCTTCGATTTCAACTTTAGTTTTTGTATTTGCAAAGTATTTCGCACAAACAACACTTAACTCGCTTATAATTTCCTAAATAAAAATGAACATTACACTAAATACAATTGCTATGAGCTTTCTCGACTTAAAATACACATGCACAGTTCGTTAAAAACCATATTCTTATCACTTTGTGAACACGCATTCAGACTTCCTGCATATTTAGCTAAGCTTGTCTTCATTACAACCTTACATTTACTTTGCAATACCTCATCTTCGGTCGTTTCGTAGACTGCTATAAACACCTTTTAGCTACTTTTTTCTTTAATACGGGTTTTATTCTTCGTTTTAGAGTTTCTTTGTTTTAACTCGTGAAACTTCTCATACACTAAACCGTCATAACTGTTTGATACTATGTACACTACTATTATGAATACCGTACTTTATTTACGTGTAGTTTTATTCAATAAAGTTAGATGTACGCGAGTTTATTTGTCTAACTGCGTGATTTTATTTCTTCAAGTAGACCAGGATTTATGTCCAACACGTAATGCCGTTCGTGAAAATGATAGAATAAGGAAAATTCAAGCGAAGGGCATGAAAACTACCGCAAACGTTTTGCGGGTCGCGCCTAGTAAAAATCAAAATATGTTGATTGGTGACAGTACAATCATATCAAAATATCACAGTAAAATTAAGTAATTAATACTGTTGATTTATTAAAGGTGATGCAAGAAAAGTCACCTTTCTGAAGAACGTTCACGATAAAAATATTGGCTTGTGTTCATGGATTTATTTGTTTGTTTGTTATTGAATTTCGCGCAAAGCTACACGAGGGCTATCTGCGCTACCCGTCCCTAATTTAGCAGAGTAAGACTAGAAGGAAGGCAACTAGTCGTCACATTATAACGCCCCCACGGCTGAAAGGGCGAGCATGTTTGGCGGGACGGGGATTGGAACCCAGGACCCTCAGATTACGAGTCGAGCGCCCTAACCACCTGGCCATGCCGGGCCGTGTTCATGGAAGTTATTGTAATCATCAAGGAAACTGACTTACGAATTACCCGTTCCCTGCACAGGTGTTCATATTACTTGAAATAGGTATTTAAAAGACAAACTTCTTTGAAGAACATCTATTTTATAAAAACAATCAATTTTCTTAAGATTTTAATTTTTATCTAAACTTTTGATTTTTAAAACAAAAGTTATACAATATAAATTAAATCTTCTTCATATACTACATGGAGAATCATAGTGTTACGTCTCTGGTCGTTTGTTAATTTCCCGTAAAAATTCTTTCCGAAG